GGGGGGGGGGGTGCATGAGACAACTCTTGTTTCAGTCCATTTTTGGTTTGTTATTTGTTAGATCAATACCAAAAACTTCACAAAATAATAAACCCATCATGAGAAATCAAACTAAATTGTTACTTATCAGGAATAAGCTAAGGTAACTTATTTTTTTAATTTTTCTTTTAAAAAAATTGCACCTTTTAAAGCCTATACCTTGTCTTGTTTTTGACTATATGACTTCCAGACATAAGGACCTGAATGACCTGTTTGGTTTATTTTATAATCATGGTAGCATATAAAACCAGGTCAACCAAGAGCTCGTGTGTCTTGTATTTGCATGCAGATCACACATCGTCATGCAGGTACCTATTCCGACGGGAGAATTAGCCCATCATAAAATAATGGCTGCCATTTCCTATGACTTAATCACTTCCCCAACGCCCAGTGTTAGTAATTAAAGTTCCCTACACATCTATAATCACCTGGTAATTCAAACGGAAAAACCCTTTTTTTTTATTTACTATCTTCCATGTTTTCTCCCAGTCTTTTTTTTTTTAGTGCAAACAATGTTGCAGTTCTTAATGCTTGAGCAGTGTTTGAAGTCGATTGCCTCCTTCATCTATGGTGTTAATTATAAATAATATCATTTAACCATTTTTAACTGGCCTGAAACTCTTAATTCAGATTTCGAAAGGAAATCATGATGTCAAATCCAACTATAGAACACATTGGGCTAAATCTGTCACCAAAAAAATCCCCTGGGCAGTTTCAATACACACAATATCTGAGCTCCTTTATTACAAATCTAAATACAAACCGAAAGTGAAAGCATGACTAGGGCTTTCCAAGTCTCAAGTTTATTCAATCTCACAAGTTAAATATATTTCAAATATAATCAGCTGTTGCTTTTATTCATACAAAACCTTAATAATAATAATAATATTATTATGATAAAAATAATAAAGATTTAAGTTATTTACACCAAAGTCATTTTCTAGTTTACAATTTGACTGCAGCAGAATTTTGCATTCAGTTTTTATTAGATGTAAGACTAATAAGAGGATTGCATTTTCACATAATTCCAACTTGAAACCTACAAATAAGGCAGCATTGGTATGGCAACAGAAATTAATGTGCCAAGGACACGCTGTCCAAAAATTTCCAGTTCAAGCCACTCGAAGTAAAAGCCGTGCTGCCCTCATCTTTGTTGCCTACCTACAGATGCCATGACCTTGTTTAACTTCCAATTGTTACCAAAAAAGTGTATGCAATCCAAACAGCGTAAACAACGTTTAAAAATTAAATGAGCCGTTGCTATTTATTGCATTTACCAAAAAGACTATGAACTTACCAAACAAAGCTTACTTGAAAACTTCTTCTAAATTCAGTTCGTCCAAATGACTTCTTTCCTCCGCTTGGCAGTATTTAAGTCTAACTCTGGATTTCTGGACTTTTCCTCAAACGCCCTACTTCGATAACCGGCTTCTGCGGTAGGCCAAAAATAAATATATGCAGCCCACGATTGTGCTGGAAGATTCCACGGGTTCGTTCTTTTCAGAAGCACTTCCGGGTCACCAAGACGCAGCTAACGCATTCACAATATTCACAATCAATACAGTCGATCTTTCAGTTTCTTTTTGTGGTAGACCTCTTTGCATCGAAACACTACTTCAAATATAATTTACTTAGGGCTATTTTTTCCGAAAACCCGACAAAAAAAAAAAAAAGAATTTATATTAATTTATTTATTAACATCTATTTATTTATAAATTAATTTATTCATTTCTATACTCTAGGTTAAAACTAAATCACTTTTTTATTTTCATCTAGATCTATGATTATTCTTATTTACTCTGTCGATATACTGTGTCATATTTAAACCCACGAATGTGAAATTACAATATATTCAATTTATGAATTCACAAATATATAATATATAATATATTTGAATGATTTGTGTGATCAGGGGCGGATCCAGGATTATTTGAAGGGGGGGTCCGCGGATGCAAAGCCGCCCCCCCCCCTCCCTTGGCACGTAGTTCCTGAAAAAATTGGTATTTTGTATTTGAGAAAGAACATACGTACGCGGTGCCATTTGCATAGTACGGTTTAGAACTTTATGTTTCAGCTAGTCAACATTCTTATTTCAAGACGGGACCATTGGTGTGATTTTTTTTTCAGAAATCGAAGGGGGGGGGGGGGTGTCAGTCAGAGGCGGATCCAGAGATATTTTCGGACTGTCTTCCAAATTAATTATCTTTGCTGATCCAGCCTCCATTTAATTTTGACCGTCTTCCGACAGAAAAAAATTAGATGCCCGTCAATGAAAACTTGAGAAAGGGAAGACCCAGAAGACGGCCTAAATCCGCCCCTGGGTCAGGATCCCCGACACCTCCTAAATCCGCCACTTGTGTAGGCCAAATACAAGTAGGAAGTGGCCAGTGTAGGTCAGGGGTCAAATGACGTCTCCGGTCACATGACATAACATTTTTCAAAATGGCGAACTTCATTGCAGTGCCTATGAAGAAGTGCTGGGAAGTCGAGATGGCTGGGCCTCTTCGGGGGTTCATTCAGACGACGTACCCCGACTATAACATCGAAGATTTTAATCAGGCTCTAAAAGATTTTGATAGATTGCGAAGTCAGATGATATCCAAGTCAATGGACCGACATGAATCCGCCTTAGACGTTCTCTACCGGTGAGTTTACGTGTTGATCCAATCAACTAAAATATTATCAAGTCAATATTTCCTGATAAGATAAAATATGTAAGTTTCAACCAATGTCAAAATACGGGCGTTGGCTTTATTATTTTTTCCCAAAAAGTTGAATATACAAGGACATGTAGTAGTAATTTATATCAAGAAAATGTTTTATTGTTTTCAATCTACTTGGACATGACTCATGCTTACATGACAGTGTGTGTGCATTGCTATGTACAGTCAGCATTAACGTGTGTTTGAGGTAAGCATAGTAAGTATTACAATTAGTTCTAAACTACAAGAAACTGATTTCGTCAGTGGAGACTTGATTGCAAATACGATTGACTGACTTATTTTTTACATATATAAAACAAAATCTGAAAACACACACACACACACACACTCAAACTCAAAGGGATAACAACTGTCGCATGAGATAGATATATAATTAATTCCATTTTACCACCAAAACAGAGATTATCAAAATTTTTCTGGAATCTGTGCTTGCCATTAGAACACGTGGACATCTGTCTATACTCCGTAGTAATATAAACCAAACTTTTAAGATAAAAACATGGACTAACTTTGAATGTCAGAATGGATTCATTACCATTGGGTAGTATGGGAAATTGTTATTTACCTAAGGAAGAAAAAAAATTGACTTAAATGAATATTTTTATCCTTTTAAACTCTGTATCACAGTCACAGAGGAACCCCTTTTACTAGTAAGTTTTTCAGTAATAAGGCACAGTTTATAGCATCTTGAATGTTTTAGGACTAATGCCATAAAAAGAGAATACTTTGAACATAAGTTTTTTAATTTATATGAAAAATATTATTTTTTAGATACCATGACCAGTTAGTAGCAATTGAGGCAAAACTTCCCATAGCAGAAAACCAGGTAGGGAAGTGGCATATTATTTTGTTGATGTTCACCTATAATGTGTTGTTGATAATTAACTTTTAAGATATTGTTAATAAAGTATGTTAACCTTGTTGTTAATAAAGTATGGAAACGTACTTTTATCACTATGTTGAAATGATACAATTATATCTAATGTAACTTTGTTTTGTACTTGTACTCCATAATACTTTGAACATTATCATCATCTAAGTATTTCCTTTATTTTTTATTCCTTATTTTAGATCCGCATCAATTTCAAATGGCAAGATGCATTTGATAAAGAAACTTTTTTTGGTGGAAAGAACACACTAAGTAAGTGCTATGTGGGGATTAACCAGGCAGTATTATAGCACATCAGAAAGCTACTAGTCTGGTTGAAATTAAAAACCCAAATGTTAAATGTTGACAACAAAAAATAATCAACAATTTAAAAAAAAATCCCACTTATCTTATTGGACTATTAACTTTGTGTAAAATCCAATATTTTTATCAGTACAAAATTTACAGCTGTTAGCCTGAGATTGGAGGCTAATGTCACTGACTAGTTACCATACCATTTTGTACAAATTTGAAACCAGTGGAAGGGAAATTTGTGAAGAATATAATTGTCTTTTCTAAGCATTTCTTGACGGTATGTGATGTAATTCATCCTTTATTCCAGGTATTTCCTCGGCTGCTTATGAGAAAGTGTGTTTACTGTTCAACATAGCAGCACTTCAAAGTCAGATAGGACAGCTTCAAAACCATGAGTCAGATGAGGGACTGAAAATGAGTGCAAAAATGTATCAGGTAGATATGATATTCTTGTTTGTGTGTTTATGTGTAAAACATGTTGGATTCAACTGTTGGTTTTCAGGAGGCAAGTTAAAACTTCCTTGTACAAACCACAATATTGTTTTGGCAAGTGACTTTTCAAACCCATTACCCAAGTAAAAGATTGCAGTATTGCCAAGTTCAGTTATGTCTGCATGAGAAGTCAATAAAAATGTTCCGTATGTAACTTTTCAGCAAGCAGCAGGCATATATACTTACCTTAGTGAGAGTGTGATGTCCCTAGTACCACAAGGCACCACCCCAGATCTTACCACAGATACCTTGACTGCACTCCAGCTTCTCATGTTAGCACATGCCCAGGAGAGCTACTGTCTGAAAGCTATTGCAGGTAAGTAGGTGATTCCCCACTCCTAGAAAGCTTTCTTATTAGCACACACCCAGAAGCGTAACTGCCTGAAAGCTATTGCAGGTAACTTTTGAACTTAACCCAAAACTAAACTGTAATATGAAAAAAGGCAACAAAATGGTATGAAAATAATAAAATGGTTGCCAATGTCAAATGAAGTAAATGTATGCTATTTACCACGTGAAAAAATGGAAACACTTACCTGAAAACTGCAAGAAACTACAGTTTGAGCTACTGCCTGAAGGAATTGAAGGTAGGACAGACATTTGCATTTTCAGAATTATTAAAATGGTATTTTTTCGGCTAGTATTATCTACCAAAGTTAACTGTCTCTTTTTTTCCTTTCAAAGATAAAATGAAGGACGCTGTTACAGCCAAGCTCTGTAACCAGTGCTCAGACCTATACGCGGAGGCTATGAGACAGCTGCAGATGTACTCCATCAGAGAGCTATGGCCACCCAACTGGATCAGCGTCACAGCGGGCAAACAGGCAGCGTACCATGCCATGGCAGAGTATCACCAGGCCATGGTGTGTCAGCAGAACCACGCATATGGGGAGGAGATAGCTAGATTACAGGTAAATATATAGACAACTGGTAGGTGAACTATATGTAAATATATAGACAGCTAGTAGCTGGACTAAAGGCCAATCTTGAATAGCTAGGCTGCATGTAAATCTTGGATTGCTGGACAATGGGAAATACTCAAACAAATAGACTGGGAAAATCTCAGATAGTTTTTCAATGGGAAACATTAGACAGAGGGCATGCCTCTCAGTCTGACAGCTAGACTACAGAGCACAGGTTAATCATTGATAGATTGACTGTGGGTAAATCTTAACTATAGACCAAAGGCCAGTGTATTTCATACAGTACATGATTTTTCATGTTAGACAGATGCATAGATGTAAAAAAAGTCTCTCCCTTTAAAAGATTTGATACATATTCTCTAAATATTTCCAAGATGTTAATTGTCTTAATCTTCTTCTTCCTATTATAATTTTAGCATGCCAAAGAGCTAATGCAAGCTGCAGTTACCAGGGGTGGCAAAGAAGTGAACTTCTCAGAAAAAATGGCTAAAATACAGCGTGCTTTGGATTCGGCAGAAAAGGACAACAACTTTATCTACCATGATAAGATTCCAAGCAGGGGTAACCTGGATCCCATAGGGAAAGCACCTGTAGCCAAAGCAATTCCTATAGCTTCTCCTATGGGAAGTGATTTCAAAGGTGCTTAACTAGAATTTTATACAGGGAGCTAAGCAATTTAAAACCGCTCTTTAACTATAAAGACAGAGAAATATATTTGAAACATATGATATCATTATTTGTTTATTTGTTAATGTCGCTGTGTACATTTTGGCCTTTAAATTAACTGTAAGCCTGGGAATACAGAAGTTTACTATGTCAGTATTCTTTATCAAACTAAAGAATAATTAAGTAGTTAATAAACATTGTGTTTATTTGAATGCATACCATTGCTCACTGTCAGACAAATTTGAAAAAAAAAAAAAAACGGTAGCATTGAAAGTAAAAAATATCATTAAGTGGTTTTAGGGTTGTAAGCAGATAATCCTAGAGTGATTTATGTATGTCTCTTCAGACTTGTTTGAGAAAGTTAGTTCTACTGACTCCAAAATATTCTAGTGTCTTTTAAGGCTTGTTTGAGTAAACATAAATAGTTTTATTTATTTTTCTGTAGACTTTTCTAAAGAGGCTATCCCTGCTGAATAACCAAATTATTCTCAAATTATCACTCGTTTTTCTTTTTGAGAGCTTCTTTGAAGTATATGAACCTAATATATATTAATCTGTCTTAGGAGGGTTAATGTAACCAAATATGTTAACATGTCTTCAGATTTGTTTGAGAAGCTAGTTCCTCTGAATGTCCACCAGGCTCTGATGACCCACGAGAACAAGAAGGAACAGGTTGTACAGATGGCTGTGGGCAAGCTACGAGAGCAGACACAGCTCATGAACAGGTAAGAATACAAATATGTGGTAGTGCAGTCATTTGATAAGTAGAGACTGGAAGAAAAAAATATTCAGTGAAGTGAAAATATGTGCAACCATTTTACATGGGATACATAAAATTATCAGATATATCCTCAATGATTTCATATTTTAGTCTTAAAGAGTCCTGCACTTTATTTCAAGCAGCTCAGCACTATGGTTTTGGGATCAGTAACTTGCACAGTAAACAATTAACATACTTCTTCCAGTTACATTTCATTTGCCATGAGTACTAAAATAAACATTGTTGCTACTTATTACATATCATTACTTGAAATTCATGTAACCTCATACCATTGCTTCAAGATGTGTATCTTATGATATCTGACACAATTGTTTCTAGACATTTATCACATGTAACACAATTGCTTATTGACATGTATCTCATCCAACACAATCCAATGTGATTCCAGTGTTCTGGCCTCTTTGAACCTTCCTGCATCAATAGAGGATTTCTCAGGGAGCGATGTGCCACCATCTTTGATGGAAAAGGCGCAGAAAGTTCAGTCGGAGGGAGGAATAAACCACATAGCTCAACTGATGCAGGATCTGCCAGAATCATTGGCAAGAAATAGGGAGATACTTGGGGAGGTAAAACTACCTGGTTGTACTAATTTTTCTTTTTACCTACAGTCCAGCCAAGTGGGTCTTAGTTTGCAGAATTAAACGTCTTCTTCATCTTAATTATTTAACATTTCGCAAACCAAGGCCAATTTCTGCCGCAAGTTATATTTAGCCTTTGTTTGTTATGTAACAGAAACTGAAACAGTGTAAGCATGAAATCTAAAAATGGATGTAAAAAAATGCATTTTATGTACTAGTATGGTTTGTGAAATAAGTATTACATTGCCATATCAAACACTATTAAAGTAATACAGTTAAAAAAAATAAAGTAGGTATTACAGCTGTTTGTTTGAATCATCATTATTCATCTGGAAATGTTCCTATTTTCAATATTTATATATTTTATATTATTTATTTATTCACATTGTAATCTAATTCTGCTTCAGGCAATAAAATTACTTGATGAGGAGCAAGCATCAGATGATCAGCTTAGACAACAGTTCAAGGAAAGGTGGACAAGAACGCCATCTATAAAGCTGACAGAGCCAATACGAGCAGAGGCAGCTAAATACCAAGGAATTTTAGACAATGCCATCAAGGCAGATGGGATTGTGAAAGCCAAATACAGTGAAAATGAGAGAGCAATTAAGCTTTTGAGCAACCCAGGGGTAAAATTCTACTTTTTGTGTCACCTTCTCACTGTATGACTGTCAACTTGTTCTTATCTCACAGGCTGATGCAGTATATGAAAATCTGTTTTAATAATCTTTAGCATGTATTGCAGACTTTCACTGTTCTGTTTCTTCAATGGAAATGCAGGCTCGATGCCAACAGCTCCTTTTACCAATATTTTATTAAACATTTTAATCATTGCTATTTATTGCTCATAATTTCCAGTTCAGTTATGAAATTGCCTAAAATGGTGAAGAACAAGAAACCATAGCCTAATGTGTGTGTTTGTATGTTTATTTATTAATTTACAAATTTACACATAGGAATTAAAAAGTGCCCTGCCATCTGCCAGCCCTGCTGCAGCCCTGAAGGACAGCCCTACAGTGAAGGAGTTGAGAACACTGATGCAGCAGGTGGAGGCCATCAAGGCAGAGAGGGATGCCATTGAGATGGAGATCAAAGAGCAAAAATGTGATATGAGTAAGTGCACTGTTTTCAGCGCACCCACAACAGAGTGAATATAGGCATGGGTTCATTTTGAGGTACAATAAGTGAAAAAATAAAAGGATGTTTTTTGACAAGTCAATTTTAATAAATTTAAGCTAATCATTGGAATTTCACTCTTCAGCTTGGGTTTGAATTTATCCTGTAAGAATCATCATAATGGTTGTAAAATGTAACGAAAATGTTTATGTCGGGCATTTTCTGTACAAACACATGCATGGGCTTTAAAGCTATTGTTCTTTTCCTTTTTGAAAATCTTATTATAAGCACAATAATTAACCTAGAATATTGTTAAAACAGTCCTTTTTTGATGATGTTTCCAGCTTCAAAGTTTATGGCTGCCTTAGCCCAAGATGGTGCTATTAACGAGGAGAGCCTGTCTGCAGCAGAATTAGACCGCATATATGGTCCTCTACAACAGCAAGTTCAGGAAAGCTGCGAGAGACAAGAGTCCATCATGATAAACGTGGAGGTGAGATGTTTTTTGTGATACATCTTTTAGTTATTTATTTGTTAATAATGACAGTGCAATGTATATGCCAAAGGCATCTTTTTCAGGAGAGATTAGGGAAGGGGATTTCATATATGTTTATTTATTTAATAAAATTTATGTCTTATTACCCTCTTACTGTTAAATTTCTATCATGTGCATGTAATTCACTGCTGAATTTTGCAATATATTTGTTTGCTGTTATTACTGTAGTTATTTGTGTTTTACACCTTATTCCAGAGAGTGAACATGGACTTCTGCCGCCAGAGGGACTCCAACCAGAGTGCAGCGGAAAGGGAGAAGATCTTGAAGGAGCTCCAGTCTGGTTACGATGCATTCCGAGAACTGAAAGGCAACCTGGAGGAAGGCACAAAGGTTAAATAGAATATTTATTTTTAAAGCCTTTGACATTTCATCCTATAGTAAACTTACCAAACTTTCTATACACTATTAATTAAATCATATTTACTAGGTAAACATAAATAAACAAGTAATGATTACAGCAATGCAAGAAAGGTTTAAAGGAAATGATTGCAAATGTATAACTCTAAACTTAGACGTATGTGTATTCACTTTAAATGTTGCCTTTGTTTATTGATTTATAGTCAGGCACTTTCAAACTACATTTAATTTTAATTAGCAGATGACAGAGGCAAGATGGCAAAGGTACTTGCCTGGCTTTCTGTATAAACACAATAAAGAAAATTGACTATGTCTAAACGATGTTCATCAAGCAACACTAGTATGAGTAAAGTAATCTTTCTTACTTTGTATTTTACTGAGTATTTTTTTTTTCTAGTTCTACAATGACCTTACCCAGCTGCTGGTGAAATTCCAAAACAAAGTGACAGACTTCTGCTTTGCACGGAAGACGGAAAAGGAGGACATGATGAAGGACCTGCAGTCCAGCATAGCCAATCAGAAGACAGCGCCGACACCTGCTGCACCTAGTTACCAGCAGCGTAAGTAGCACACACGTGTGGATGCGCACATGCTCCCACGTACATACAGGTACTGCTGGAATCAGTAGTTGGTAAACCTGTCTGCGCATGTGTGTGTGTCATTTACATGTGATATTTGTGGATGTGAACGTGTGCAGCTGTATGAACTTGTGCATGGATACACATGTGCTTCTATGCTTTCCCGTACACTACCATTGTCATAAAATGTCCTTAAATGTTTTTTTAATGTTAAGATATGATGATTTAATTCTGTTGAATGAAATGATGATCTACATGATTTTTGAAAACGGGTCTTGATTAAGTGACTGATTCATTGTTGCAGCACGAGCTCCGCCTGCCAGGCCACCCCCTCCAACCTTGCCAGCTACAGCACAGGCTCCACCTAGTGGTGAGTCAGAGAGAGAGAGAGAGAGACATTCATTGTGAAATTAAGATTTAACTATTCCAGTTTAAATACCTATTTCAACTTAAATCTTGTTTCTGTGTGAAAGTAACCTAGCTGGAATCTGTCAGAGAAAAAAAAAGTAGCTCGTTTTCTAAATGATACATTCACCTCTTCTGTCATCTATTATTATCATCCAGTTTCAGTTTCACAAGAGATAGAAATGTGCGAAGTCCTAGGATAAGTGTTGTTGCTTACTTCAATTTCTGTTAGCCTCTTTTAAGTTAGTTTCAGTATGTTTACTGTTGCAAATTTGACTTAGTTGTGCCTTTATTTCAGCCCCCACTCAGGCTCCACCTAGTAGCAGTTATAGTGCACCACCCCAAGGGCCACCAACCAGTGCACCATCTCAGGCACCCTCTTCTGGCCCCCCCTCTCAGTTACCTTACCCCTCTCAACCTGGTAGTCAGGGTAATTTTATTTTGTTTCCTTTTTATAATATATGGCTTTCATTTCATTTAAAAACTGTTTTAAGTTGGTAGTTCTCATCTGCCTTGTGTTCTTTGCTCTTTTTGATGTTTAAATTTTTTTTCCCATTTTCATTTATTCACTCGCCTGATTTGAATTTCTATTTGTTTCATTTGTTCTATTAGCATAAGTTATGAATGAAAAAAATGCTTTCTGTCTAGACTAATTCTGTTGTTTATAGACTTGCTTATTATGCCCAATATATGATGCCTTGAATGATAAATTCCTGACTGATTTGCTTCTCTGCTTCAGGTCCAGCATATGGTGCTGCCCCCTACAGCCAACCATCACCATACCCACAATACACCCCAATGCCAATGCCTGGTGGATACAACCCATATAACCCTTACATGGGTCATCAACAACAAGGGGGTTACCCACAACAATACCCACAACAAGGTGCCCCACAGTACCCCCAGCAGGGGGCACCAGCTTACCCCCAACAGGGGGCACCACCATACCCCCAACAGGGGGGGCCACAGTATCCACCCCAGTATCCACCACAGCAAGGAGAATATCCATACCCACAGCAGCAGTGGAGGTAGACTGGATACAGTGCTGAGGATGAGGAGAGAAATTCAATCATTTTAATGACAGCTGGCATAGATTATCAGTTCAACCAATTGAATTGTATTCCTTATAGGAAATTTGTACTCTCTATATCCTATCTGATATACTAGGATCATGAGATTGCTGGAGTTAAGCAATAGGCTTTTATGATATAGCTCTGGGTATCAGGTGGAACTAAAAGTTTGTTTATAGGTATACCATGTGCTCTTATATGATATGCTTGTCAGCAATAGACTGTTTTTGAAGCACTAATATACAGCTACAAAATGCAGTGTAATATTATCCAAGTATTTAGTTACATAAAAAAAAATAATGGATTAAGCATTATACTTCAGCATAAAACTAAAGGAATTTCAGTGCACAGAAGTTGTTGCAAGAAATCAAAATTGTAGATTATGTTTTAAACTTGATGTGTCACTACAGGTTACCCTAGAATCGTGGGCACTAGGTCCAATTTTTTACTTTTAAAATCCATGAAATTACGTAAGTGCACTGGACGTAACATGTAAACCTTTCATTTAAAATAACAAATATATCTTGAGTGGAACACCCAAGTGTACATGCACTGGTTTTGTTGGACTAGTTGGATTCTCAGTGCCTCGCCAAATAATATATATAGCTAATCTGATTGCAGGTTTTATTTGTCCAATATTCAGATGCAATGCTGTGAACTAATGTTGAATGTGATTGGCTACTTTTCAAATGATAGTAATACATCACCAGCATATAAAGATAGAGCACAAAAATGGCTTTCCTGTTTCATTTGCTCATGTACTGTGTGACCAAGTATCAGCTCAGTATGTCAAAAGTACATTGAAATAGTAGTACTTTTTTGGTGTCTTGTGAAAATATGTGATGTGATGTGAAATACTATTTGTTGTAAAGCAGCGTATGCTTGACTTCACACATGCAGTAGATGGAAAATGTACAGAGACAATTGAAGCATCAGAAGGAGCACCTTTATCGGCAAAGACCAAGCTTCTAACAAATAGTGTTTTGAATATTTTCCTTTGTTGATATAGCAGACTGGTGATTTGAAAGGCTTTGTTGATGATTTAACTCTGTAATTAATGCTAAATGTAGCCTTCCCCCTTTGATAATGACAGTAAAAAGTATGTGTAAGTTATAAACCTCAAGAGAAATATTAACTGAAAATCATTGAGTAATTACACTTATTTTTCATTCAAATTCTAATTTGTAATTATTATTATTATTATTTTTATTATTATTATTATTATTATTATTTGAAAATGGTTTACAATATTTGGTAGTGAATGTTTTGTACCATTAAATTATTATACATTACTTTTCCTTGTATTTGGGAAAAATTAATACAGATTTGAAGAATAAACATGATTTTGTTTTTAAGCAAGTTATTTTCATGCAGTTCTTTTAAGAGGGGAAATTTTGATTATGGATTGGCCAAGAGAGGCATTTAAGAAAGGCCTGCTTAAGTGTGAATGAAAAAAGAGTGACATTCTACATCAAGAGTAAGTTTGTACATTAGCTGTTGTTGACTACTATGATAATACCAGAATGATTAAATCCCAAAATAATTGCTCAACCAATCTAATTTACCCTAATATTTTCATTGTACTACAATGGTGAATTCAGAGTAATTTGTTGATGAAAAACGAACAGCAAATCTGGTAAATAATTTATACAAACACCAAGCAGTTAAAAACATAACAGCAATGTTAGCAAAGCTAGGGGAAATGAACAGATATGTGAGCTTTAATATACTTGAACGTGTTTATAAATCCAAGTATTATAGATGTATATATGCTGTCACCAAATATCCTAGTACAACACTTACAAGGGAAATCCACGTGCCGCCAGTGACTCCTTAACCAAACCAAATTTTTTCTTTTGAACTATTAAGACTAGGATCCTTTTATAAAAAAAACCTTTGGTGAGCATAAAATTGCATGGTTTGGATTTATGACCGCGGACACAAAATATATGATAAATAATTTTATTCACCTTAGGTTATTTATCTATTTGTTACATATGTCAAGAAATATATATGATCATAATTATCAGTAAAAATACAGTGGTTTAAATGGAGTAATGCAGGCAGCAATATAAGCCTAATTGGACAGTCATGTTGGTAACACTGTCACTCCAACAGTGATAAAGAGAAATACTTTAATTTTCTGGCAATGTGTCAAATTAGATATGGCAAGGAAGAACTTCATTTCTAAAATAAAGTAGAGTAAAACTGAGCTGAAAAGCTCAATAAGCTTCCCAACTTAACAATATTTTACTGGAAGCACAGTCAACAAGAACTGAAAGTCATACACTCTAGCCCAGTTCAAAGTGTTCAGCTATCATCACCTCTCCTTGTCTGCGACTAGATTTACCAATCTGTGACTAGATATCTCACAGTGGGATACTGGCCTTCTTCTCTAGATTTAAAACATTTTGATCACCCTACAGCTTGTCCATGAACTTTTACGATACAACCATGAGCTTGACACGCTGTCATGAAGTTGACACACTGTCCATGGACTTTTACAGTACTTTCACAGTACAACTATGAGGCTGACACACTGTCATGAAAAATTCACAAAAAAAATCCACCCGTTTTTCTGATACACTGTCTCACATTTTGAATGACCCCATGTTCTTTCAAGAGAGGTCCAAATGACCTCCATGTTCAAAATTTAGAGGTAATCCTGTAATTTACACCCATTAACAAAAAGAAATCATTATAAAAATTTATGACTTGTTTAATTTTTGTGCGATTATACAAATATAACTAAGCAATAAGCCATCATATAGGATAGCATTTGTTTATAGCAATACTTGCAGTCTTGTGAGCAATATTTCAATACAGCAGAATACACTTAGTCTTTTAGTAAACAAAAAAACCCATAAATGTATATATCCAATCTTGGATGCACCATTTTGTATTGGTCTGCATTTTAACCCAGCAACACTTTCTTCATCTTTACTACGGGGATGTCATCCTCTGGCTCGGAGTCACTGCTTGAGAGGCTCACTAGGGGGCTGGCAGGGGTGCAGTTAGGGGCACAGAGGTACTGTAGCAGGGGCACACGATACTTCCCACAGAAGTCGACAAATTTCACGTGCTCCCACCTGGAGGTGAAGTAAACACCTAAAAATAGAGTTGAAAAAAAATTAAACATGGGCTGTTTATAAATGTGATTTTAGTACATGACAGTAATTTGTAAAGAAATAAAAAGAAAAGCATCCTCAAATGATATAAGGTTGGATCAAATTTTATTGTTATTTTGTCCCCTGCAAAGAGATCATGTGCAAAAAATTTTGGTTCTAAAAAGAACCACAACCTACAATTATAAAAACAACTAATCACCAGAAGCAGAATTTTTACTACATTCTTTGCTCAAAAGCCACTTTTGTCAAATCAATGACATATTAAAAAAAAAAAAAATTATACTCCTTATACACCCAATAAATGGTTACTGGGCTTGATTAATAGCAAAATTAATGATCGTCCACCATCGAGGTTTAGGAGTACTACTAGTTTTGTTAATCTCACCTTTACATCTTGGATTAACACAACTCTGGGCCGACGCAAGGTAATCCACTAGATTTCTGGGAACTTCGCTCTCTTCATACTGCACAGCCTTGGTCTTCAACACCCTCCCAGCAAGCTCCAACAAAGATGGCGGCTTGTACACCAAATCTTGTACAAATCTTGCCACCAGAGGGTTATTTCTCAAGCTGAGCTCAACCAAGTCCAGGGCCACAATTTCTTGTGGAAGCACACAAATGCTGTTGTTGTGAAGGCTGAGTGATTGCAGCTTCTGGAGGTTCATAAGTGTTGGGGGCAGGCTCTGAAGTTTGTTGTCGCACAGGTTCAGCGCGGTCAGCTGTGACAGGTGGCCAATTTCTGCTGGGATTTCTGTCAAATTGTTGCCCCCTAGGTACAGTATTTCTAATCTGAAAAATAAATTGATATTAGCGTCCCTGTTTTTGGTCAGGCAGAAATCGGGCACAATGAGGTAAATGGGAAATTCCAAATTCAATCTTACTGACTATCACAAGAAACTAACATACTCAAAATAATGTAAAATTGTACATAAATATATTAATAGTAGTTAATCAGCAGATATACCAGTATCATTTATTAATAAGAAAGTATTTTTGTTTGTATCGTTATAATTCCAATACTTGAAGGGCCCAAGCAGATCTCAAAGTACAGCTGATAAAGGTCACCAAGCTGACATTTATTAGTACTAGTACAGGCTATCCTTAAATGACCTGACCTGTTTTTATTTGTACAGTAAACACCTTTTAGTGACCTCAGCTTAAGGCTTTACTGGTATGTCTTGTTGCACGTGATTTAGGTGATACCTTAAATTTAGGCAAATGTTACACATACTCCTCTTTAATCAAAATTACTATTAACTAGATAAGGGTAAATACCAGGCGATACAGAAAAAGAATTAAGTAATTCACACATACATGTACGTTTTGCTATAAAACCGTCCATTTTAAATTTTCAGAAAAAGACCCTCCCCCTCTGTTGAAAAGGCTGTCTTCAGGCCTGAACATGTCAACAGGTTTATTTCCAAGTGTCTCAAATGACATATATGTCCATGTACGGGTTAAATCACACCATCAGAGATCTTACCCTATCATAAATTTGATATCATTTGGCACAGACTGTAAACGGTTACTTCCAAGGTAGACCCTCCGAAGACTTGGCATCTGAGTCAGTTGTAGGGGAAACTGTGAAAAATTATTCCCACTAAAATTCACTACCTCTAAATTATTTAATACTGCAAATTCTTTCGGCAAGGCTGCCTGGTCCAATGCATTATTGCGTGCAATCAATGTTTTCAATTGTTTTAAATGTATAATTTCATCACTGATGTAGGATAAACCGTTGTTGCTGAGATCTAAGGCGATGAGGTTAACAAAAGCACCAATACTTCGAGGTAGAATGGTAATCTGGTTGTGGCTCAGCTGCAAGCTTTGGATTTCTTTGGACCTTTCTAAGAGCACCTCCGGGAAACTGTCTAAATCACAGTAAGACAGATCGTCTGACGTTTCAGTGTCCAAAGTCTCCATTTTTAGCGACGACTTGGTATTTTCTCCGTTTGGATATCCGATCAGGCCTGGATTACTTTAATAACGCCGTACAGGATGACCTGACATATTTCTTTTTTCTATAACCAAAAGACGAAGGAATTCTCCTGACTACTTTTAATCTGAAGCTGTCATCGTTGGACGGCTTAATTATGCGGATATTCAGTTCAAAGTCATACAACCTTGCCTTTACGTAAGGCTGATTTGCCCTTGACGTGTTTTCCGTCCTTCAGTTCCCTTAGTTTTCACGATAGGCAGATATTTTTGCAGTAATACTGATTCTTGTATCAAAGTCCTTCGGACAATTTACCGGAAGCATGTGTCTAGTTCATGACTAAACTCAATATTGGCCAATGAAAATTTTGCCTGAGCTCAGGTCAACAAATAAGGCCAACATTCAAGGTAAAGGTGACATTTTTGACATAGAGGGCGCTACGTAAGTCCGCTTTGCCGGAGTTGAGAAATGTTAGCGCCCCCTACAACGTGTTTCTAGAAACAACATGGAGTCCAAAGATGAAGAATCTTCTAATGCAGACGAAATTTTAGGAAATACCTCTGCTAAAGACGATAAGACAGATCTGACCGAGCATGCAGACGACCCGGAGCTTGATGACCTCTTAGACAGTAAGATAACAGCGTTTATATCANGCGATGGCGACATTGACGGCGACAGGGACGGCGACGACAGACACAGGTGATGGCAATATGTACAGACACATCTGTGTCTGTACATAAAAACAACCTTTGGTGAGCATAAAATTGCATGGTTTGGATTTATGACCGCGGACACAAAATATATGATAAATAATTTTATTCACCTTAGGTTATTTATCTATTTGTTACATATGTCAAGAAATATATATGATCATAATTATCAGTAAAAATACAGTGGTTTAAATGGAGTACTGCAGGCAGCAATATAAGCCTAACTGGACAGTCATGTTTGGTAACACTGTCACTCCAACAGTGATAAAGAGAAATACTTTAATTTTCTGGCAATGTGTCAAATTAGATATGGCAAGGAAGAACTTCATTTCTAAAATAAAGTAGAGTAAAACTGAGCTGAAAAGCTCAATAAGCTTCCCAACTTAACAATATTTTACTGGAAGCACAGTCAACAAGAACTGAAAGTCGTACAATTCAATATCCACTCCAGTCCAGTTCAAAGTGTTCAGCTATCATCACCTCTCCTTGTCTGCGACTAGATTTACCAATCTGTGACTAGATATCTCACAGTGGAATACTGGCCTTCTTCTCTAGATTTAAAACATTTTGATCAGCCTACAGTTTGTCCATGAACTTTTACGATACAACCATGAGCTTGACACGCTGTCATGAAGTTGACACACTGTCCATGGACTTTTACAGTACTTTCACAGTACAACTATGAGGCTGACACACTGTCATGAAAAATTCACAAAAAAAAATCCACCCGTTTTTCTGATACACTGCCTCACATTTTGAATGACCTCATGTTCTTTCAGGAGAGGTCCAAATGACCTCCATGTTCAAAATTTAGAGGTAATCCTGTAATTTACACCCATTAACAAAAAAAAAATCATTATAAAAAATTATGACTTGTTTAATTTTTGTGCAATTATACAAATATAACTTAGCAATAAGCCATCATATAGGATAGCATTTGTTTATAGCAATACTTGCAGTCTTGTGAGCAATATTTCAATACAGCAGAATACACTTAGTCTTTTAGTAAAAAAAAAAAAAAAAAAAAAAAAAAAAACATAAATATGTATATATCCTATCTTGGATGCACCATTTTGTATTGTCTTGCATTTTAACCCAGCAACACTTTCTTCATCTTTACTACAGGGATGTCATCCTCTGGCTCGGAGTCACTGCTAGAGAGGCTCACTAGGGGGCTGGCAGGGGTGCAGTTAGGGGCACAGAGGTACTGTAGCAGGGGCACACGATACTTCCCACAGAAGTCCACAAATTTCACGTGCTCCCACCTGGAGGTGAAGTAAACACCTAAAAATAGAGTTGAGAGAAATTAAACATGGGCTGTTTATAAATGTGATTTTAGTACATGACAGTAATTTGTAAAGAAATAAAAAGAAAAGCATCCTCAAATGATATAAGGTTGGATCAAATTTTATTGCTATTTTGTCCCCTGCAAAGAGATCATGTGCAAAAATTTTTGGTTCTAAAAAGAACCACAACCTACAATTATAAAAACAACTAATCACCAGAAGCAGAATTTTTACTACATTCTTTGCTCAAAAGCCACTTTTGTCAAATCAATGACATATTGATTAAACTTGATGTTTGAAAAAAAAAAAAAAAAAAAAAACAACGAAAAAATTATACTTCTTATACACCCAATAAATGGTTACTGGCTTGATAAATAGCAAAATTAATGATCGTCCACCATCGAAGTTTAGGAGTACTACTAGTTTTTTTATCTCACCTTTACATCTTGGATTAACACAACTCTGGGCAGATGCAAGATAATCCACTAGATTTCTGGGAACTTCGCTCTCTTCATACTGCACAGCCTTGGTCTTCAACACCCTCCCAGCAAGCTCCAACAAAGATGGCGGCTTGTACACCAAATCTTGTACAAATCTTGCCACCAGAGGGTTATTTCTCAAGCTTAGCTCAACCAAGTCCAGGGCCACAATTTCTTGTGGAAGCACACAAATGCTGTTGTTGTGAAGGCTGAGTGATTGCAGCTTCTGGAGGTTCATTAGTGTTGGGGGCAGGCTCTGAAGCTTGTTGTCGCACAGGTTCAGCGCTGTCAGCTGTGACAGATGGCCAATTTCTGCTGGGATTTCTGTCAAATTGTTGCCCCCTAGGTACAGTATTTCTAATCTGAAAAATAAATGGTTATTGATATTAGCGTCCTTGTTTATGGTCAGGCAGAAATCGGGCACAATGAGGTAAATGGGAAATTCCAAATTCAATCTTACTGACTATCACAATAAACTAACATACTCAAAATAATGTAAAATTGTAAATAAATATATTAATAGTAGTTAATCAGTAGATATACCAGTATCATTTATTAATAAGAAAGTATTTTTGTTTGTATCGTTATAATTCCAATACTTGAAGGGCCCAAGCAGATCTCAAAGTACAGCTGATAAAGGTCACCTAGCTGACATTTATCAGTACTAGTACAGGGTATCCTTAAATGACCTGACCTGTTTGTATTTGTACAGTAACCATACATTCTAGTGACCTCAGCTTAAGGCTTTACTGGTATGTCTTGTTGCATGTAATTAAGAAGGTGAAACCTTAAATTTAGGCAAATGATCAAACTTACTATTTACTAGATAAGGGTAAATACAAGGCGAGACAGAAAAAGAATTAAGTAATTCACACATACATGTAAACTGTAGGTTTTGCTATAAAACAGTCAATTTTCAATTTTCAGAAAAAGACCCCCCTCCTCAGTTGAAAAGGCTGTCTTCAGGCCTGAACGTGTTTATTTTCAAGTGTCTCAAATGACATATATGTCCATGTACGGGTTAACTCACACAATCAAAGATCTTACCCTATCATAAATTTGATATCATTTGGCACAGACTGCAAACGGTTACTTCCAAGGTAGACCCTCCGAAGACTTGGCATCTGAGTCAGTTGTAGGGGAAATTGTGAAAAATTATTCCCACTAAAATTCACTACCTCTAAATTATTTAATACTGCAAATTCTTTCGGCAAGGCTGCCTGGTCCAATGCATTATTGCGTGCAATCAATGTTTTCAATTGTTTTAAATGTATAATTTCATCACTGATGTAGGATAAACCGTTGTTGCTGAGATCTAAGGCGATAAGGTTAACAAAAGCACCAATACTTCGAGGTAGAATGGTAATCTGGTTGTGGCTCAGCTGCAAGCTTTGGATTTCTTTGGACCTTTCTAAGAGCACCTCCGGGAAACTGTCTAAATCACAGTAAGACAGATCGTCTGACGCTTCAGAGTCCAAAGTCTCCATTTTAACGACAACTTGGTACTTTCTCCGTTTGGATATCCGATCAGGCCTGGATTACTTTAATAACGCCGTACAGGATGACCTGACATATTATTTCTTTTTTCTATAACCAAAAGACGAAAGAATTCTCCTGACTACTTTAAATCTGAAGCTGTCATCGTTGGACGGCTAAATTATATGGAGATTCAATTATTCCAAGTTATACAACCTCGTCTTTTCGTAAGGCTGATTTGCCCTTGACGTGTTTTCCGTCCTTCAGTTCCCTTAGTTTTCACGATAGGCAGATATTTTTGCAGTAATACTGTGTATCAAAGTCCTTCGGACAATTTACCGGAAGCATGTGTCTAGTTCATGACTAAACTCAATATTGGCCAATGAAAATTTTGCCTGAGCTCAGGTCAACAAATAAGGCCAACATTCAAGGTAAAGGTGACATTTTTGACATAGAGGGCGCTACGTAAGTCCGCTTTGCCGGAGTTGAGAAATGTTAGCGCCCCCTACAACGTGTTTCTAGAAACAACATGGAGTCCAAAGATGAAGAATCTTCTAATGCAGACGAAATTTTAGGAAATACCTCTGCTAAAGACGATAAGACAGATCTCACCGAGCATGCAGACGACCCGGAGCTTGATGACCTCTTAGACAGTAAGATAACAGCGTTTATATAACCGTAAATCGCTCTGTCATCGGCGACTGTGTGTTGTTTTACCTTGTCTTCAGATTGTGACCCCCCCCTTTAAAAAGTTGCAAGATTTGATTTGGGATAGCGCACGTTTTACTATTTAAAAGACAAATGATGTGAATGAAGATAGAAGATGATTTGAGTATAATTTTCTCCTGACTAGTTCAGTATTTACAGGCACCATGCACAAATTATGTGGTAATAGTGTGCTATGTATTACTAATGTCTGGCTATCATTTGAAAGGTGCACTGAAAGACTTTGAGAAGGCCTCTCAGGCTGTATCTTCACAGGGAAGTAAATCTAAACCATCCACAGGTCACAGAGACAAGGTCAGTGATGTGTGGAATAATTTAGGTTGCTGAGCTAAGTTTGTACATAGGATAATATAATCCCAGGCAGTTTTGATGAGTAATTTTTCCAGCTTCTAATCTCAAATTGAGAATGGCCATATTTTAAATGTATGAATTGTTGAAACCTCTTTGATCAAACTCAATAATTGATAGTGGAAACAATTCACAATAAATCATTCATCTACCACATATCAAGGAAAAGCACCTGTCTTTGAAGTAAATTTACTTTGTAGACATCATTATATAGTACAGTATTCTAACAACATTTATGGTGTCACATATAAATTAATCTAGATTTTCTTTATAGCCCCCAGATGGAGCTGCTGCAGCAGCAGCATTGTCAGAGGAAGCCATGATGAATGAAGTGTTTGCCAGTGAATTTGCTGAACAAGCATCTAAACAGTTTGATGATGCCATGAAAAATTTATTAGGAGACGATCCAGAATTAGTAGAACAGATGCACAAACTAGCATATGCTGCTGAGAAAGCAGGTAAGTACTTATCACTGACAAGTAAACAAGACTAATCCCTAAAGTGATTCTCTGTTGTCAGCTTTTTGAGGGTTTTTACGCCATGCTTTGTATTACCATCTGTCATTTATGCAGATATAACTGGATTAGTTACTTGTAAGTTGTTATGTAGGAATATTTGTATACTGTGCCAGTTATATTTTCATTCCAATATAACAAGAACTTGCTTCTGGAATTAATAATGATAATAATAATAAGTAAATAAAATAATTGAACTTCATTTGTTTTATTTTTCTTTTTGAAAATAAAGGTGATGGCCAAGAAAAACAACAAGAATTTGAGCAAACTCTAGCTGAAACATTAGGGAGCCTAGCCCAGAATACACAGGAATTACAGGTTACTGCTGCACAGTCTAAAATTTTATAGTTGGACAATGTTTTGTTTTCTTTTCCATTTACTTGTGCTATGATTTTTTATTTTTTGGTTTATTTCTTGTGGATCCCTTTAAATATGATATACTTACAGAATTTTATACTACTTCTACCACTACAGGAACTACTACAGTACAACTACTTTTAGGTTGACTGCAGTTGGATGTTCATGAACATAATAATAATAATAAATGCATTACTAGTGATAATAAATTTAAAAAAAAATTTTCATTGCCATTCTGTTATTTCAGGATCACTTTCCAGAGGAGGATCTATTAGGGGCCTTGTCACACATGAGTATGCAGGATATCGAAGAAGGCAACCTAGATTTCCTGCCTATGATGCAGGGGATGATGCAAAGCTTGTTATCTAAAGAAGTTTTATATCCATCATTAAAAGAAATATCTGATAAGGTACGAGCATTGTACTTGTATGTGCATTGCATACAATGCAGTCATTTTGGTGCATTGTAATGTGAATTCCACTATGGGAATGAACCCACTAAGTGTCAAGTGAGATTTGAGATCAAGCGGGAATTTGAGAAGAGTGTGGTCAGAAATAATTACATACATTTGTTGTTTAAATGTTAGCCCCACCTTATGTGGATTCCTGCATGTTTTCTAGTGTTGTATGACCTCATGCAGCTTTATTTTGGGCTATCTGAGATTTGGTAATGACTCTGTCTTTTCAGTGGACAAAACTTATCAAACTTGTAGATGGATAATTTTATAATTGCAAAATGATATTTCTTAATAACATTTGTGGTGTTTTTACTACTTTTTACTTTTTTAGAACTATGGAGTAGCCTGCTTTTTAATTTTGTTGCTAATACTAAATAGGAATGTTCTAATTTTAAGAAATTGTGACTTGAAAAGTACACCAACTGTAAATTTTTTAATTTCCCCCATTGAAAAGATTGAGTAATTACCATAATCCAACCAGTTTCTCTTTACTTTTCCTCAGTATCCACAGTGGCTGGAAGAACACAAGGACACGTTAGAGAAATCACAGTATGACCAGTATGAGAGACAAAATGAGCTAATGACCAGGATATGTGGTCACTTTGAGGAGGAGAAGAAGGAAGACAGTCCTGAGGTCAAACGACAGAGATTCGAAAAAATCATAGAACTTATGCAAAAGGTTTGGCCATGCTTTCAAATTAGCCTCAAAGAATAGAAACATTTGTTCAGCCAGAGCCAGGTTTCCATGATAAATTTTAGACAACTGTTATGCAAAAGCTGTATTTTTGTGTGGCTTAGGAAAATGTGAAAATTATATTAGTTTGATCTTACCATCCAATATTTCATCTGCTTGCAGTCAGATTTCATCAGGGAATGAGGTTGTGACAGGTATGACAACCTGTCACCCCCTCTGGTGTGCTATTTGGTCAGACGGGGGGGTCTTGCCTGCCCCTCCCTTGCCTGCCCCTCCCTTAGGAGTGGTAGGTACAGGCTGATGAAATCTGACTGCAAGCAGATGAAATATTTGATGGTAAGATCAAACTAATAAAAATAGCTATAGACAAAAGAATCTTCACAAGTCTATTACAATAACATAGCTAATGAAACTGTTCTGAAAATTTATTTAAATTTAATATCATTTTATTTATTTATTTTGACTGGTTTATCTTTGTATTAGTATCTTTGTATTTGTATTTCTGATTTAGCAAAAAAATATCCATCTGTTTAACAAAAGTACATTTTTTTCCTTTATATAGGATTAGATGAAAAAAAAAACTTAAAAAAAATTATTACTGTTTCTTCCAGATGCAAGAGTGTGGTCAACCCCCATCAGATTTGGTTGGAGAGATGGTGAGACAGTAAATTTATTATTATTTTAAATAGAGCAAACATGGCAAGGAAACTCCTTATGCACCCCTCCATTTTTGTTACCAATAAATGACTTCAGAATCAGCCTGTTATTTTTTAATTCTCACAGAAAATTAAGTTTTAAAAGTATGGTTTTGATGACTACCTGTTATTGCCAAAATTTTAAAGTCTTTCCCATTTAAATTTCAGCCACCTGGTTTAGAGTTTGATGCACAGGGAAATCCCAAGATGCCTGGTGCTCAAGATGGTTGTACAGTCATGTGATGCCTTAACATGAAATGATAATGCATTTCCAGCTATCTTTCAATTTTGGCTGTGTAGGAAGATGATTTAGATGACAGAAAGCAAAATCACGCACTTATACTTTCCTACCTTCAATCATTTCATGTTTTTTATTTTCATAATTGGCATTAATTTTACAATTTTCTTTGTGCTATTTGCCATTGATAAAGAGCCAATTGTAAAATCAAGATTTAATTAGAGTTGCAGCAATTAAAGCAGTTTATTGTAAACTTTGCCTTAACTAATTGGATGACTTTAAAGTGAGGTGTTTCATTAATCAATACTTAAAAGATTATGAATTCGTTAATGTATTAATCAGGGATGGCTATTGTGGTCTGCTGAAGGGGGATCAGAATTTTATAAAGACTCATCTATAATATTAAGTTGGTTATGTTGTTTTAAATGTTTTAGGAAAATTCTGTTTAAAAGGTTAAAAACAATTGTTAATCATCAGTGAATGATTTCACTCGATGTAAAAAAGAATTTATTTGCTCATTATATGTATATACTTGTACATCATGTGCTAGGAAATAATAATGTAAAAAACAAAAGAAAAACTGGTTGCGTATTACTCTCATTGTTTGTGGACTATAGGATTGCTTATAAAATTGTTGTAACGCAAAAAATAAACTAGAGCTGTAACGGAACTGAGGGTCCGTGTAAAAGAATGCCGGCCCTCCATCGAGTTATAACAGTTAGGGTTGACCGCAGTGGGTTAAAATCTAAAGCGAGGCTTACCTGGGCTCTGTATCTCGAAAGGTTCGCTATGTTGCGCAAGTGTCTCGATTCCATAACCGATTCCATTTCGAGATACGGGGCCATAGAATCGAGACACTTTAGCACGTGCGCAAACGTCTCGATTCCATGGTCCCGTATCTCGAAATAGAATCGGTTATGGAATCGAGACACTTGCGCACGTGCGCAACATAGCGAACCTTTCGAGATACGGAGCCCTGTACAAATAAATGGGGTGCGGACTTTCTGTCATGGGGAACTCTACGCACAATTTAGCAGTTCTATCAATTTCTAGCATTGATCCCCCCCCCCCCCCCCCCCGCATTACCCGTCGCGCAGCCAAGCAGCTGCAGCAGATTTATAGGTTGAATAATATTCTTCTAATATCTTGCAAACCAATCCAAAACAACCCGCCCCGGGTCCTATTAGACTCGGCTCTTCCTTTTCATGTGAGGCAGCGAATCTGGCAAATTGATCATATTTGCTTTGGTGAGACACAGACGAAATAGCAACCGTCGAAGAAGCACCGCTGCACATGATAGAGTCTGTGCAAAAGTCTTTGAAACTGAACATTCGGAATTTTCTGAGTCAGCATCTGTGATAGTCTAGATAGGGGAGACCGGGGCTAGAGTGGCCCCGGGGTAAGTTGCCCCCATCAATTTATGACAAAGTAACTATGGGGTAAAAGAATTGATCACATCATTTTGTAAAGTGACCGTATCCAATAGTGCTAAGAAAGCGTTGGCAGTGAGTCCAAATGAAATAATTTAGCATCTTAAAATAACTTTATTAAAGAGACTTGATGGGGAGCCAACTTACCCCGGGGTCCTACTAGCCCCGGTCTCCCCTACATGTTTCTACATACTTAAGATACGAAGCGTTATCCATTTTTTTTTTTTGTTTGTTTGTTGGTGAAGATGGTTCAGCGACTATATTTAGTGGGTCATTCGGACAATTGACTACTTATGTTGTCCTCAGTCATAAGGGTACGGCCAACCAACTTTTGATTAAAGTCATATAATTGTAAGAAAACAGGGCGTCGGATTTATTATCACTAGCCATCGGGTGTCTATCAGGTTAATTTATGCTACAGTAAACTACTGCAACCTTCGACTTAGGTCATCCATTGTAAACCTAAGTCAATATTTTACGACAAAAGAGTAAACATATTAGCTTTGTTTACACACGTTTGAATTGAAGAATACCTGTAATGTTTGCTCATGCAGCCAGGTCTAAGTACATGTAATACATATATGTAGATCGTTCGAACCGCCGTCTGAGTCGTGAGGACCAGTGAGGAGGGGGCAATCGATAAGAAATTACGAGAAATTATGCTGTGATTGTCACTCAAATTATTACCAGAAAGACGCAAAACGTACTGCCAGGCAAGATGGAGGACGCAATGATGCAAATGATGCAGGTGGTTTTCGCCAAAGAAACTATGTATCCCCCTTTAAAAGGAGTCTTAGAGAAGGTAAGTGAGGTCCAGCAGTTAAGTCCATAAACGGGAGATAAAATAAACTACTTGTGATCTGATCCGTGTGAGGCTACATGTACCTGTTATTTTATTGGTTTTCTGGGCTCGGGGACCCGTTGTTTAATGTGTACAGACCGAGGGACTGACATTGCTCTGTGCGCGATGATATCACAGTGGTGATATATGCGTATTCTGTTCAAAATTAGGGGATTGGGTTGGGAAACATGTACGATTTCCCTTAGTATGTATGACAAATAATGCACTGCTACCACTAGCAGATAGTTGTATTCTAACAGCTCCTTGGTTTTAAACTTTTTGTCTCCCAATCCCGATGTTTTCCTACCAAGTTAGTTGAACAGGAATATACCTGTAGGCTTCGCTTCCCCTTGCTGACAAAAACAAACAATCAACCATAAATATGTAGACTAAATGAACTGATATTAATAAACAAAACAGAGAAAAAAAGAAAGAATTTATGAGAACTTGCATCCATTTCGATACCACTGCACCGTGGCCAGCAAAGGAACCCGCCCTTGAGTAACAGTGTGTAGACCCTGTGTTGCCCAATCTTTAAATTGATCTACACTTGAATAATAATAATAATAATAATAATAATAATAATAATAATAATAATAATAATTTGTTTAGGACATTTAAAGCAAAACAATCTTTATTATGTGGACGTTCCGTCCAGCTCCCAGCTGGTACTGCATTTTATTTTGTATTTGCTATAGCTGCTTTATTTAGCAATGTTCCAATATCAAATATTGTGTAATGTAAACACTGATATTTGATGTGGGAAAGATGTCACACAGACGGATTTCGGCGTGTTTTAGCCTGTGATTTCTACAAAAATCAATTTAGCTCATAAATAGGCCAACAGAAGTATTTTCTTATAGTATATTATTTTATCTATTATTATTGAAGATTCCAACAATAACCAAGAAGTATTGTGATTTCCCTCATGTCATAATAAAATGCCTAATTTTACGAGTTTGGTCGATCTACAGTTTCATTGTGAATGAGCCTTTAGACCTTTACGAACAGCTTTTAAGGAAACCACAGTCTGAATGATATAAGCATATCATTTGATGTTGTTAAGGCGATGCGTTCGCATTTCCATCAGATATGTTTTATCACTCTCACAATTAGTTTTGCCCTCACTCTTTTCCAGTTTTCAGCATGGTATGAAGAACACAAAAATACGTTAGAACAGTCCGAGTGTGAACGACACGAGAAACAAATCAAGCTGATTGGCGATACGTGTCGCCTGTATGAGGAGGAGACGCCAGAGGATACTGTGGAGGTCAAGAAACAGAGACTTGCCAAAATTATGGCCGTTAGTCAGGAGGTGTGTATAATAAGGTTCTTTTTTCTTTTTCTTTCTCTCCTATTATTATTATTATTATTATTATTATTATTATTATTATTATTATTATTATTATTATTTGTTTTGGTGGGGGGGGGGGGGGGCATTTCTCTGAGACATTGTTTGTGTTAGACCCCATTCCCAGAGATTAGATCGATCCAACTAGATCGACCTAACTCCCTGGGGGTTCACGCTAAATAGCTGTCAGCCGAGCGGGCACGAAAGTTTATTACCCCCTTACAGCTTGTAGTAGGCGGGACGGACATTTAAGCCAGATTATCTGACAGTAATCTAGTGAGACTCCCCACGGGGATAGATCGATCTTAAATCTATGGGAATGCGCCCTTAGTGTCATGTACAAGAAAGCCCACAAGAAAGGCCAATGTGATACGTTGTAAAGTTGAGTACACCGCCAGATACAGGTGTCTCTATACGTTTCTGCTGAATTATAAAAAAGTAACTGTGATAAGTGTTTTATCTAAATACGTAAAAAAAGTCACATATTTTAAAGATAAATTACGCGTCAACCGAGAAAACTTCAGGCTTATGAATGTTTCAACAATTGAAAATGCTCCTCTTAGGAAGGGTGATTTCAAATACCATTTGCATGGCTTTATTATGGAATCATTGACATGCTATGTATTTTTGATTACATGCTTTGCAATGCTGATGTTTCTTTCAGATCGGTGCCCTCGGTGACCTTCCCCCAGAGGTGAAAAAGGATATGCCCCAACCTAAATTTGTAAGTACTTGCCAAATCAACCCTTTAATTAATTAATTAATTTATTTATTAATTTAAACACTAGACTGGCTTTGTCTAATTCAAAGTGTCAGATCAATTTATCCGAAAATATACTTTAAATTAAATGTACTCAGATATTTGAATGTGAAAAATTTCATCACGAGAAATGCTTATCCAGTAAAGACTAGAGTATATCCTAGAATATGCTTGTTAATGTATAAAACAGACAAAGCTGTCCGCTGTTAGAAAATGTTGCACGTGCAGTTTTGCCGTCTCAATCCCATAGATGCCTTCAGATAAACAGCTTACCCTTTGACAGTCCCTCGTAGAATTCATTTTGGTCTTCTTTCATTATTTTTGGTTTAATTATTTTCATTATTTTCATTGGCAAAGCAACTGGGATTTGTGGGTGTTCAGGAAAGCGCGGAACTAAACAAAAAGGACCGGCGTAAAAACAATTCATTGAATGGAAATTTATCAACAGGGAGGTCATTTTCTTTTAATATTTGGTTTTATGCACAATTTTCCAGTATGTCAAAATGATAATATCTAGTTTATCATTTTATATAAAATTAATTCCATGGAAATCTGTAAAGCAACTGTCTATTTTATCATTTCAGCAAGCTGGAGACATGGCGGGCTGTATGGTTATGTGATTTCCATCCGCGGACCCCCCTTCAAATAATCCTGGATCCGCCTCTGACATGCATGTACCAAGAAAGCGGCATATATTTTTTGATCCTCTTGTTCCGTCAGATATTTTCTATACAAAAAAGATAGCGTTTAATGAATATATAACACTGTATCTGTAACAGGCACAACTGTCAAAATAAGTATACAAAATCGGATATCTTGAATTTAATCTTTTGTTTTCAATATCAGAAGACATGTTTTTAATTTCGAATCTGGTAGGCCTTATTATTTTAGGACATACAAAACCATACGTGATGTTTACTTAGTAATGTACCAACAGTACAATCCGGGCCATATATGCCTGAAACGTTTTCGATAATAAACGCGTTTTTTCCCCTCCAAATTTATGTGATGTCTCTGTCCTAAGCGTAAAAGTATATTATACTAGTTTGAAAATATCAGAAAGTCGTATTTTTATGTCTAAATATCCTGAGAAACTATTTATCAGTATCATAGCAGAACTGATCTCTTGAAAAGTACTTGATGTCAGTATATTTCCTTTTGAAATGCCAGGAAGACTTTGCTGTCTAATGAATGATGATTCGTTTAAAACTAAGTTATTTAATTTAGATCTAACATGCTACAAAAAAATTAAATCCAAGTGCGTTATGAATAAACATATATTACCGGTGAAGCAGTAAACAATGAACATTGATGTAATCAAAATAGTGGGCACATACACCATCAATAAGATGCATATGCACCATCAGTTAATTGACAACAAGTTATATTAATCTTATGAAAAATTTTAACATGTATATTATTTAAAAAAAAGAAAAAAATTCACAACGGTAGGCCTATCCCTAGAGAACACACTCTTTAGAAAAGAACGACTTCTGAAGCAAAAGATGAAATTATTCACCAATTTAAAATTTTTATTATTTTATAGACACTTTGCACTGGTGTGTCCTAGCACTTTGAATCAGTTGAGGTACTCAGATTCTGTCATCTTGGTATTCCTTCTCTTAGACATTAAGTGCGGATACTGTGGCAGCTTGGGTGTGGTTTTTGCCGGCGTCCGTTTGTGAGTCTGCTTGCAGGGAGTTCTGGGTATAAACGAAGGCAGCCCGTTCTTATTTTGTGTATGTTGCACATAAAAGGGAAAAGACTGCCTTTTGTGGACAGGAAGAGCATCATGGTTAATCGTATCACGCAATCTGTGGATCTTTCCATCTGAAAGTTTACACCCCGTGCACACGTACCATCCGTACTCCTTTTTGCTTGCCGCCGTAGGAGTTGAAAGTCCTGAATCCGAAGCACTACTTTTCAGTAGCTTATGCTCGTTGATTACGCTTGCATCAAATGCTTTTGCTAAATCTCCACTGAAAGTAGAGAGATTAGTGCCAGACCGACTGGTTGGCCGACGCGTCTCCTGACATACATGCAAAGTGTTAAGAGCAGTCGTCGGTTTTGGCTGTGTGTTGTCAACTGTGTCAAATTTTCTGTCATTTTTAGCTAATGTCTCATTCGGTAGGTGATCGTTTGAAGTCTTTTCATTGCCGCTGGTTGCTATGTTGTCAGACTCATCTTGATCTGCAAAATATTATAAACAGGTAAAGCATGTTATAATCATCCTGTGTCTGCTGACAATAGTCGCTGTCATATTAAAAGAACTTCATAGAATTTGAGCACATAGCATACGGTATTATATGTTTTGCCTCCGACCTAAGAGTGTCTCCTGGAATTAAAAAAAAAATTTTAAAGGCAACAGTTAGCGAACCTTTAGTTGTCTTAATTTTCAAACGATGATGTGACATTTCCTGCCTTCAAATATATTAGCCAATTAAGTAAAAAAATCCTGTTCACTTCCAGAAAAAATCACCCTGAGCTTCAGAGATAACTTGACACTAACCTCTTCACTATAGCCTATCAACTTGACACGATGAAGATAGGCTATTGTAAAGAGGTTAGTGTCAAGTTATCTCTGAAGCTCAGGGTGGAAAAAATAGTCTGTTAAACATATATTTATGAGACTGAAACCACACCTTTGTGGTCCAAGTCTTCCTTCATTCCTTCCACACCATTGTCTATACGAACACAAGACTCCTGCCTTGGAACTACGGAAATCTGCACCTAGGAGAGAAAATCACTTTTTATTTATACTGATTGATACTTGTACATACTGAGCAGTTAAAAGTTATCAAGTGATGACACTGAATAATGTTTATAAGAATAGATAGAGGTTTTCAAGGGTTTAATTTTCGGGAATGTCTCTAGCACAACGTTTTACAGATCCAGTGAAATGGAACCTAAATGGTCAAATATCATAAAGCAGACCTAAGGCCTTTTTTAGAATGATGGCGTGATTTAACGACATATTTGTGTCGTCTATTACCTCCGAATTATCCAGTTCATTGTCCAGGACTGAAGGAGATGCTTGGACAGCCACATCCATTAACGACTTACGTACGGTTGTCATGGGGAGAAACGGAAACATCACCGCCGTTCTGTTCTGGAAGCGGCGCTCGTTCAGCATATCGCTGCCATACTTGTGGAATTTGTACAATGCTATAAACTGGAAAAAACTTGGATTATTCCTTTCAGATTTTCTCCGGAAAGTTGAAATTAAAGAGAAATCAAAATGGCTGTTGTTAGAAATGAAATGAATTGCAGAATATGTCGAAGTTCCTGTGGTGCATCAGACAGAAAAAAAGTAAAATTTTAACAAAAAATTACAAATTTCAATTTACTTGCAGCGTTGAAACCTGGTCATGATCTTAGCTTAATACAAAGATAACAGTGTTTGAGTTATAACAGTGTATAGACAGATTGTACTGTTAACGGATATTATTTTCCTCACCTTTGGTACAAATATAAGGCAGAACATACAAGTGACGGCGACTTGCAGATATATCAGTTCCATTATGTAAATAACGTCTGGTCCCTGCTGCACAGCGACAACCTGTCTGAATGAAAAACAAGGTCCTCAAGGTCAGTCCAGAGATCCTTAACACCGGTGTCCTAAAACCCATCTTTCAACCATCAGGTTGACTACTGGGTCAGGAACAACCATTATAGTTAATTATTAATTGTAAACTGTATGAAAATAACTTAGATGATAATTAATTTAAGTGTTTGAATGAGTTACAATGATATTTGGTACACTGGGGATATTTAAAATACATTTCATGTTTATCTTTTAATCTTAAAAAAGTTCTATTTAAAATCGCATTATTGATAAGTTTTCAGTTCCATGGTATGCATGTCTTTGAAGATCTAAGAATTCTTATGGGACAGAATATTTTTGTAGTCCGGCGTAGAGTAAAGGTATTTTTTAATTTAACTTTGGAAAATAATTTTCTTATCTTTGAACATAAAAGTGTCCCATTGTATGCTTTAAAAGAAGCTAAATCGTGTCAAATAATGAATAATTAAAAAACGTGGTAACAATGTAAAATTTTAAACGAAGAAGAATAAAAAATGAAACATTTCAGCGAGCTTTATAAAGCTCAATTCCTCTTGTTTTCAGGGAAGTCTTAGAATTAAAATGAATGAACGCATTACACAAATTTTACGTTAGAATTTGTTTCCGTTGAAGACATGAAACTACAAATAGCCAAAAGATTATCAACGAATGTCAGAGTACAAGAATCTTACTCAGTACAAGAGTCCTAGGTCGCATTCAGAACAGTGGACTAACTAGTCCGAGGATCAAATATGGCCGACCCACCTGAATACATCCCCGAGGAGAATCTATTCAGTGTCTATTAGCGGATTAGACGGCAAGCTTTGTATAGTATGGGTCGCCATATTTGACCCTGGGAATAGTTAGTCCCCTATTCTGAATGGGACCTTACTCACTTTATCACAGAAATCGAGGAACCGAATAAAATTGTGTTATAAACTGCCCACGTGATATGTTTACTTTCGTTATAACTGGAGGGCGCGTTCCTCACTAGGAAAGATAAGTACACACCCCATAAAAGGTAACAGAAAACGCCTGTAAATAAATAAAAAGTCTTCTGAATAAAACATGGTATAACTGGCTTCCTAAATCATCTATAAATATTAATTCGAGTTCACCTCTTCAATGACTCATTTATTATTTTTTTTCAAAGTTTATTGTCTATTATCAATGAAAAGATGTACATGAGCAATGGAAGAATGCATATAATAGTACATGAAGTGAAAAAGATGTGGGGTAGCTTTTAAAGCTGTGAGGTTTGAATATAAAGATAACTGCATTGAATGGAGTGCAAAATGCGCTAGATGTTGCCTCGATATGAAAGATTAGTAAAATAAATACCCGAGTCAGCAACGTACTCCCACCAATCAGTTCTACAAGAGTTGTATTTCAGATTGTCTATTGTCGTCATGGTAACGGGGGTTGGTCTCGCAGATACTGTCCACGTGACCAAGTAGCAGACGACCACCGCCAGAATAGGGATGAAGCGACGCAAAAGCACCCTGTCTGTCAGGTTGACTTTCTTTGCCGATTTCACCCGGAATATGACTGCTATTCTGCGACAAAGAGAAGACATTATTGGTTCATGACAGAAAAACAAAAATAGATAAAGAAACGTAGACAAGTGAATGATAAAAAAATGGTCCTTATGTTAAAAGTCTATAGAAAAAAACGAATAATAATGCAAAACTTACAATTGTGACGTTCTCCACAACTCCGCCACCGCCAGTTTCCTTTCCAGAGCAGACTTTGTCAAACAGTAATGAGTAGTCGATAAAATTCTGCTTTAAAGAACTACTTTTATTTCAATACTCTGCCGCTTGATACAATCTGCCTGCACACCACAATATATCACACAACGCCGCTCCAGCACTCCAAAGTTTGGACAAAGGAGGGGATCTCTATTTGAACGGGGTAGTTTACCTCTCCCTCTCAGTCTAGATGAAGTACATATAAACTAGAACATGCCCGACCTTTCCGGGTCATTTGTAAAGTAATTTCCTTAATTAAAAAAATTATTTGTGTGGGGAGAAAAGAAACAACACCATAGTCTTTTCTTTGGCGGCATATTATACGCCCCACCTTTTATAACTACTGTATGTGTTACGCCATTGTAGCTAAGTTTATTTATCGTCATCCATCAATTCCCAACCCACGTTCAATAGGGTGACTCCCGTTTTCGCCAACATACTCAAATAATTATAAAACCTAGCAAATAATTTTATCCCCAAAGTCTTGGTTATAAATTCAGGATTATCGTTGCAAACAATAATTACTATAATTACTTTTATAGCCAAGAACGTCACAGGGAGTCTCCCTTCTGAACATGATCCAACATGTGGGCGCCAGACTTACATGGCTACACAGACACTGATCAAAGGGTGAGGATTACATTAATTAATAATTTATTGAGCACAAAGAAATGGTTTACATTTACAGGCTCTCTAACTAATACATTACATTAACCAATGGCAGGTCACTACTGGTCCACAAGGGCAAGTTATCACAACATTTACTGTCAGACAGTGCTTGTACAACCAGACAGCATTTTCCACTCAGCAAGAGAGGTAACGTACCACAGAAAGATGACTTAGAAAAGACGCTACAAGTTACTTCCAAAGGAAGGCAACAGGGACTTGGACCTAAGACCCCCCGAAAGAAGGTAGGATGTTTCATTATTTTTATTTCTCACCTCCCAAACCAGGCGGCATATTATACGCCCCATCTTTTATTATTATATGTTACGCCACTGTAGCTAAGTTTATTTATCGTCATCTATCAATTCCCAACTTACGTTCAATAGGGCATGGACATAATAATCTCTTATTATGTCCATGAATAGGGTGACTACCGTTTTCGCCTACAAACTCAAATAATTATAAAACCTAGGAAATAATTTTATTCTAAAAGTCTTGGTGATAAAAGTTACTGGAGTCAGCACCTTTCACCGATGGTTTTTGGAACGAGTATCAAATATTCTAAAATACTCTTTTCTATCAAATGAAAAAAAAGAATGAATATGTTCTTAATAGCTAAATATTACTTTGCATAAGGATATGTACATAAGCCTAATTGTTATCCCCGCATTCAAGTGAGATGGACGTATAAGGGGCACGTCCTAGAAAGCGCTCTCTTCTAACTTGACATACGTAACTCTTGCTGGAACACCGAAACATTGGCTTGGCAGTAGGCGTACTGGAAGGGTCAGCCAAAGGACCCTAATAGTCAGGTTGGCCTATGGATTTAGCGAAAATTATCACAAAAATGGAGCAGAATCAGGCCTGGAGCCAGCATTTTTTTTCGGGGGGGGGCTTATTTTTTCAAAAAAAAAAAAAAAACTTTTACCATGAAGACTTCGTGTATGCATCACATTTACCTTGAGTGTACCTTTCCCTGCTAAAATCGGGTCGTTCGATTACACCACAGCTGGCTACACACCACACACACACACCCCGGCTACGGGCCCGAGTAATTTAATTAATATCAAAATCTTTCTACCTGTAAGTCTTCAATAACAAGGCGCTGTAAGTCACAGTAATGCCTATGTAGCGTAACCAGGGCTCGAGCACGCACGTGTCCTCCGTGGCATCAAAGTAGCCTACAACCATTGAGAGACAGATCAACCCAGACCCGAAACACATCACGTAAAGAAATATGGGACTGGCGGCTCGCAAAACCTGAAATATATGCAAGTGTGGAGTAAATATACCGTTTTGGTTGACATTAAATCGTTGTTTGTATGCGATTGTCTTGATTTCGGCGTTCCACTTTCTACTTTCAACGGATTATTTGTCTCGAGGAGATCCGTTTTATAGCTCGTCAGGTTATTCAAAGATGACGGCAAAACGACATTATGAAATGTCAGCACTACTGTTTCCTTTCTTTTACATTTTTCACTGGTATCTGAGTATATCCATTTGACTGTGAATACATGAGCCCGAAAAAAAAAATTATAAAAAAAAAGAAAATAACAGAAGAAATGAATTCAGAGCTATTAAACAAGTAAAAAAAAATAATATGACCACCGCCTTTAAAGTATAAGCATATCTTCATTGCAAGTTTATATCAAGAAAAAAAAGAAAAACAACAACAAAAGAGAGCAAAATGAGAAGCACTATATAACACGAGATATACATGTACGATATTACGAGCACTATTAAAACCAACACAGAAAAAACCCGATTTATTGCAAAAACTGAATAAAAAAAGGCAAGCTTTTTTTTAACTAGTCTTGCAATTTTGGAATTTTTAAATTAGTCTAACAATTGTTTGAATGAACTACTTACCATGTATTTTCGGAACTTGTAGATAACACAGCAGAAAACTAGTATACCAAATATGGTCAGTCCCACAATGCCAAGTACGATCATGCGCATAAGCACTTGTCTTTCGTGCCAACACGGTCTGGCATTGACGCATGTAGTACAACCTAAAAGATAACCCATTGGTGTTTAAATCCTTTGTGCTGATTGTTTATTTTTTTAAAACAAATATTTCCCAGTGGAAGCCTGGATAAGAAAATTAATTTTTTCCTCGTTTACTCCGGCATGCAAATAAAAGAAAGGAAAGTTTTTTAGAGTCCAACCCTCTGAGTTAAAAGTCTAGTTGTAACCATCTCTGCTACAGATCTTATAACGAGTTGCTCATCACTCTCTACAGGTCTTATAACGAGTTGCTCATCACTCTCTACAGATCTTATAACGAGTTGCTCATCACTCTCTACAGATCTTATAACGAGTTGCTCATCACTCTTGCTATATTGCTTTTCTCGTCAAGCAGTGGCGGATTTAGGGGGGGGGGGCGGGTCAGAGGGGTCCTGACCCCCCCCCCCCTTTCGATTTTTGAAATTAGAATTTTCACTAGCCGAATCATAGTTCTAAACTGTACCAAATGGCACCGTTCGCCCTCTAAAATACCTAAAAATTTTGGGGCCCAACAACGGGGCCCGCATCCCACGTCAGGGGGAGGGGGGGGGGGATTCGGCTTCGCATCCGCGGACCCCCCCTTCAAATAATCCTGGATCCGCCCCTGTAAAGGTAACCGTTTAGAAAGAATGTCTATGTAGCCTACTGGTACATGTACAACCCAACTTACCTTTTGCACAAGGTAAACAGGAGGCACTGGACGTATTACCGTTAAGCCCCTCAACCACCGTGCCTCTGTAGAACTTGTCCTTGGCGGTAATGTCAGGGAAGAAATAGCCGTCCTTGCAGTGGCACTGGTACCCACCTCGGCGGAACCCGTGTCCTTGGACAGGCTGACACTAAGACAAACAAACAAATAAACAAACAAATAAATAAATAAATAAATAAATAAATAAAATTTAGCTATATGTTTGC